CCCCAAAACCCCAAAACCCCAAAACCCCTTATGGATTCACAAAATTGAACACGGGCAGGCTAACTTTGTTATGAATAACTCTTTTCTAGATCTGAAACCTTCAGAATATTCGGAATGTTATCCTGGCTTATGTCTATTGTCTTCCATTGCTTCTTCATCCTTTTCGGGATTCATAGTTGCGAGCTAAAGATTTTTAAGAAATTTACCAATCGTTTCTGGAATTTAGGGCTTGTATTATTCGAGATTTGCGCCTCTCTTTTTCAAATCCCTTTGGGAATACTATCTTTCTGTCCCCATTTTGGTCTGATGTTTGTGACATGCGGAAATTTAGCTTCTTCTATGCCCAAAATAAGTCTTATTTCTCCAAATTAAAGATCTGAGTTCTCATCTACTTACCATTTCAGATTTTCTGACTGCATAACTTCTGTAGATCTGGTTGTCTGTAGGCTCTTTTACAGGATTTCTCGAGGATCTTGCAAAGTAGAAATCTTTATTTTCATCACTATCCGCAATTTCTAGAGTAGCAACGGACTTCGACAAATTATGCTGGATATTATTTTGTTTCATTCTTTACAAGCATTCTTGATTGACCTAGAGCTTTAGATAGAGACTACGGTTCAGTAATGGCACGAAGAAGGTCTTTTCCTTGGAACTGGTCCTAGAGGTTCCAAGAGACGTCTAGAGAGGTCAAGACGGGTTAATACCTGACGTGACAGTATTTTCTTCACATTTTGAGTGAGATTTGGCCGTGCTGATAATTGGATTTTGGTAATTTCTTTGCCATTTTTAGGAAAATTTAATCTTGGAGGGAGGATTATGTTAACTAAAATTTTCCAATAATTTACTATTTCCTGTAGAATTTTGAGTATTTTTACCCATATTGTGAATTTTTATTGGGCTATTTCCTAATTTTAAGACATTATAGTACCTTTAAAACTGTAACTTGGGAATAATGCTAAAATAATTGACTTTCATTCTTGTTACCTTGTCCTGTCACTTGCTTTTTAAATTTTAAAACTTTCAGCTTTAATTTATTTTATATTCTGGAGCTCTCTGATAGCTCCATAGCTTTCTTGTCTAACTTTGGTCTGTCCTTGTGGTATCCACCACTTGAAAATTGAATTATTTGTACACTCTTTGTTTGAGTCATCCCTATTTCTAAAGAGAAATATTTTAGAGTTTAAGTAAGTTTTAATTTTATTTACATGTTACTTATGAAGTCTTTATTTTCTTATCCAAGATTGTACTCTATGAGACTGTCTTTGGTGCCTCGCTGGCTCTTTGAGATCTCTAAAGACAGTCTTCCTCTTAGATTTAGTCTTAGTAAGATTAAGACATTCCCTGACTTCCTTTTTCTTATTTCTGATCTGAGAAGTCCTGGTTTGTAGCACCATATGTTTATCACTAAATCTGTTCAAGATGGAATCGGATATCAAAGACCATGGATTTTTCTTTATTTCTGAAAAATCTACCATGACTGGGTACTCTCACTTTTGTTCCTAAAAGTTGGTAGAAGTCTTACAAGTAGTTCTCTACTTGAACTCTATTGGGTCTTCCTTAATCTCAGGTTTGGCTCCGTAGACTATATTGAAATTATGTTTAGAGATATTTCAGTTAAGTTGTAGAAGCTTCACGTGTGCCATTAAGGTTGGGGTTGCTGAAGGAGAAAGCCAATAAGGGTTGGGAAATAACATAGAGACTGATTTGTAAATAAATTTATTTTATTTATGAAGAGCTTTAAGAAACATATAACATTACTTATGTGAATAATAGAGTTCATTGTTTATTTAGACATTACCTATATAAAAATTCTCTATAAAATATCTTTCTCTTTCAACTTAAACGAATCCTCTCTCACCAACCCCCTTAAATCCCCTCTATTGCCTCATCTGCTTACCTAGTTTACTTCTGATATTTGTATCAGTAGTCCTCCTTCTGTTTGGCTTCATTTATTGTGTTATAAATATATTTATATTTTTTGAAGATTTCTTGGGGTTTTGGGGTTTTGGGGTTTTGGGGTTTTGGGG